TGTGGGGGGGAAAATCTGGGCCCCATGGGGGGGAACCCCTATGCCCATTGTGTGTGGGGGGGAAAATCTGGGCCCCATGGGGGAGGGGAAGGCCATGTGTCCATGGGGGGGGGATCTGGGCCCCATGGGGGAGGGGAAGGCCATGTGTCCATGGGGGATCTGGGCCCCATGGGGGAGGGGGAACCCCCAGGCCTGTGGTTGGGCCCGTCGCATAAAGGACCCTTTGTGACCCGGTCTGTGTCTCCCTGGCAGCTCGCCCCCTGGTGGCAAGGCCGAGGAGCCGGCCTCTAATGCGGCTGCTGGCCAGGCCAATGCTTCATCCCCAGCGCCCGGCAGCCATGACCAGTTCCTAGGCAGCCTGACCAGGTTCGTCAGCCGGGTCCTGAGCCCCTCGGGGGAGCCGCCTGCTGCCTCCAGCCTCCACCACTGGCTGGACTTCAAGACGATGGAGACGCTTCCTCACCGGCTGCTCAACCTGTCGGAGCAGGCAGCCCTGGAGCGGCTGGTGCAGTCGGACGAGCCCCTGGTGCTCCTGTTCCCCCAGAACAGCCAGGCGCTGCTGGAGCAGCAGTTCGGGCACTGGCGGCTGGAGGGGACACTGCTGCAGAGGCTGCTGGAGAAGCTCCAGGCTGTCATCCAGGAGCTGAGGGAGATCCCAGCCTTTCAAGCCAACGTGGACCTCTTCCAGCACCTCCTGGCCTTCTGCTATTACCCCCTGGGGTCGGGCGGCAGCGACCCCACGGAGCTGCCCCGTGGCCACCGGAAGCTGCGCACGCTGCTGCTGCTCAAAGCCCTGCAGACGGTGCGCGCCCACTGGCAGGAGAAGAGGAAGGTGTCCCGGCAGAACCGCAGCGCTGGGTCCCAAGCCTATTGCCGGCTGCAGGAGCTGACGATCAACCTCCGCTACGATTTCATCATCGTCCCTGTGGAATACACTGCCAACAACTGCGAGGGCCCCTGCCGCCGCCCGCTCTCTACCCGCAGCCCCGGCTACTCCTCCCACACGGTGCTGCTGCTGGAAATGCAGGCACGGGGCACACCCCTCCGGCGCAGCCCCTGCTGTGTGCCCGTCAAATACTCCAGCCAGGACGTCATCCTCTTCACCGGGGAGGGCTTGCAGGTCACGACGTACCCCGAAATGGTGGTAGAGGAGTGCGGCTGTCGGTAGAGATGCCCGGCCTGTCCCGTCTCTCCCTGGCGTCCTTTGGCCTTCAGAGCTTGGAGGGAGGCGACTGAGCTGAGGCCGTGGCCTGGGCTGTTGGTTCCACAGCTGCCTTTCCCCTGCAATACTGGCTCGTTGTTTCCCCCTGGCCCTGGTAGGTTTATGGGCCCGTCACGCTCCGGGAAGCTGATGGCAGCCCCAGGTGCATCTGCCCCCCAATGGCAGCAGAGCGCTGGGGCAGCGCAAGTGACGCGTTCCTGGAGCTTAGAGGGCAGCAATAGGCCAAATCTGACCCCCACCCGCTCCAGCTTTGTTAGAGGTGGGATGTGGAGGGGCCGTGATGGGCAGCAGAACCCCGGCCCCTTCCTGCCTGATTCTTGTATGTGCAGCTATTTCTCAATATCGTCTGGTTTCATTTCTCACCGTTTCGTGCTGAGGGTGATGGGGGCGGGGGAGGGGGCGTCTTGGGGGAAAATCTGTAACGGGGGAGGGGGAGTCTGTCTGCAGACAGGAGATTGATGGAAACATGCTAGTGCCACTGAGGGATGCCATGGGCTAGGTCAGGTGCTGGGCTTCACACACCGGCCACTTCAAATCCTGTGGGAGCTGAGAGCCAGCACTAGGGTGGGGGTCCTGGGCTGGCAGAGCAGGGGCCGTGTAGCGCAGGCCAGAGGCGATCGGGCTGGTGGAGCACGGGGTGCTGCAGAGCAGGTGTGTGGTGCGTTGGGGGGGCTGGCAGAGCAGGGGGTGCTGCATGGCAGGGCTGGGGATCAGGCTGGTGTGGCAGGGGTGCTGCAGGCCAGCCACGAGGGGCATGGCATTGCTGTGGGCGAAGCTTGCCTAGCCTCTCAGTTCAACTCCAAATCCACCCCAACGTTTGTGTGGTTGAAGAAGGGGCAGGAGGGTGCAATCAGGGGTCGTGACTGCCCTCTTCTGGCAGGGTGCTGTAGGGGCAACTAACTCAGCCCCACGTGGAGGGAGCACGCTGTGGCTCTTTAGAGCAGTGATTCTCAGCCCGCCGGCCACTTGCAGCCCAATCAGCACCCGGCTGCAGCCCATGTGCCATCCTCAGGGCCATACGGGGAGCACGTATCTTGTGTGGCTGCAGCCCATAGAACCCCAGAAAGCCGCGTGTGCTGCCCACAATGGGAAATCGGTTGAGAACCAGTGCTTTGGAGCAATGCTTTGGGCAGGCGGCTCCTCGAGAGCGGAGCGAGAGAAGGGAAGATCTGCTCACCAGGGCTTTGGGGACCCTCCCTCACTTATCACAGGGGTGGTGGGCACACCCCCTCCCCAGCCCAGCCAGGGCTTTGCTGGGGTGCAGCTCACAGTCAGCCCCCTGGTGCAGAATCCCCGAGTGACCCGGAGCTTGTGCAGCTCCATGGACGCTGGTAGGGAGCGCTGGTTACAGGCCTCTGCCATGCACAGGGTTACCATACGTCCGGTTTTTCCCGGACATGTCCAGCTTTTCGGCAATCAAACCCCCGTCCGGGGGGAATTGCCAAAAAGCCATACATGTCCGGGAAAAACCCGGCTGGGCGCTTCCCCTCCCGGGCTCCGGCGGCGCAGGGTCCGGAGGCATGGGGGCTACCCGAAGCCCAAGCGCTACCGGCTTATGGAGTTGCAGGTGAACCCCCACCCCAGCCAGGGCTTTGCTGGGGTGCAGCTCACAGTCAGCCCCTTGGTGCAGAATCCCCGAGTGACCCGGAGCTTGTGCAGCTCCATGGACGCTGGGGGGGAGCGCTG